GGTAATTGCATCTATCTTCAGAAAAATCCGCGAAAATTGCGTTTCTAAGTTAGTTTTTTTAAAAACTTTTTTTGGCCTGTTTTTTGGCTGTGCTCGACCTATGTTTTGAATGTGCTCAACTTATGTTTCTGTTTCGACTGTGCTCGACCTATGTTTTGACTGTGCTAACTGAACTGAAAGCAGATTATAAGAATCAGTAAAAGGCAGTAAACTTTGGCACCGAAAATCAATTTTTCCAATTGATATTTCCCTTCTTTTCCTTTTATCTGGACCGGAACTGTAGGTCTGAAAAGTGATGTTTGAGGAAATTTTGATAATAAGTACTTTTTTTTCCACCGCATGAACCCTTAAGATTTGAAAAAATTATAAGTTACTCTCATAGTTTTCTAGATTTGCGGTAAGGAACTCTCCTCAAACGATTGCCCATAAAATTTTGAAAAACTTAGGTTGTGCTTGAACGATGTTTCGATCTTTTCGACCAATATTGGGTATATTTCTTTTTTGCTTGACTTATGTTTCGATTCTCTCGACCTAAATCGGGTATGCTTTGACTTTGTGCTCCACTAAAAGTTGCTTAGCGAACATAGAAATTTAGTCGGAAAGTTGCACTTGCTCGACTTTCAAAGTCGAAACATAAGGCGATCACCTTGGCCCGGGCAACTTTTAAAACAAATGTTCACTGGTGAAGTATATTTTTTAATTTGAGCTCATAATGTCTATTGTTTCAAATGGTATAATTTTTTTGTTCAAAAATTGCTTGTTATCAAGTCAATATTGATCTGGAGAAAAAAAACACCCTGAGAAAGTGGGAATAAAAACATAAAAAAAACGTAAAATAAAAAAGTTTTCAGAAAACGTTAAAAAGTCCTGTTATTTATAACTAAAAACTTACATTGTTTGATATTTTTTATATCTTTTCAGTGCTCAAACTAACCGAGTTAAATAAGCATCAAAGTTAACCATATTCGAATCAGTTTAGAAGTCAAAAAGCTGTACTTGTTGGGGGAGGGGGCTTGAATTGACGCAAATCACCAAATCAGAAGAACGTTCGATAGGTAATTATACTGAGTTCATTCGCTTATAATTTCACGGCTTATTGACCGCTTTGTATGGAAGCAAATAATAAATTGACCAATTCAACCTTCCTTAGCCCAGCATATCTGTTGAAAAAAGGTCATTATTTATTTCTAAGAACGTTTTTTATCCATGAGGGAAATTCGTACACGAGGTAAATGACCTATTCAGCTATTTACGGAAATCGGGCGGTCATTTTGAAAAAATCTATCAAACAGAGCATCATTTATCATAAGGTGAGAAATTTTTAGTACAGCAGATAACAAAAATTTCCTTATTGTCTATGATATAATTTTTTTTAGAATTTTAAATTAATTAAAGAACTCCTCATCGTCAATTGTTTTTCATGCCTGTAGTTAGTAGCTTGTTGGCGATCAAAAAATTGTCTAGAAGCCTGACACCAAGCTTGGGTAAGAGCGCTCAGCGTTAAAATTTCTCCTCGGCTGTGGAAAAAGTGCTTCAGCTTTGAGCTGTAAAGAGTTCATGCACTCTGAGCATTTGGTTTGTTTCATGCTGTCACTTCTGTCTTGAAAAAATAATGCTTTATGTGTAGTATGTTTTTAGGGCACAAATAAATATCTAAAATGGGTTTGTATGTATTTTCATAAGCAATTCGATAGTTAGACAGAGTGCAAGTTTATTTCTCTACCATAAGGTCCAAACCAAATATTTGATGGCCTCTTAAAATTTGAATTTTTTTCTGAAGTTAGCAAAAGCTTACATTACGAGGTCAAACTGCTCGCGCAATTTGTAAATTGTAAGCGTATTCCGCAACAAGGACCTCGTGATATAAAAAACTCCACAAAGCTTTGCTTCCTGTTGCGGCTCATCCTTCCAAAAACATTGTATATCTCAAAAAAAATTTCGCCAATCCGTTTTTTCTGATAATTTTTTTTGTTAGTCTCTCGATTAATGTTACTATTTTACTCCTGCATGCTTTTTTATTTTCCACAATTTACCAAGTATTCTGTTTTAACCCTCTGTTCCAGTCCTCGATGCCGCAAGTTTTTCAACGTTTTAACTTTTTCTGGGGGGTTTTAATTCAATTTTTTTAGATCAAATCCCAGGTTGACGTCCATACAACAAAAATGCCTACGACACAATTGTATATATGAAGTCTAAAAGTGCTTGTCATAAAACTTTAATCGGAAAAAATTGTACGACAAGAATCTTTTTAATTGACAGTTTTTGTTTCGAAATTTACCTTGAATTGGTTAAAAACTCAAACAAAACAAATTGGTGGCAGTTTTGTTTATATCACAGCAACTCTACGTTTTGACAATTAATTCTGCGTTAAATTGTACACATTAACTTACACGGCCAGTATCACCAAATGCAGTTTATCTGAGTGGTAATTGCCGTTTACACTCTTGGTTTTCCTAAGACAGAAAATCTTTGATCAGTGTGTTTCGGATGAAACACAAAATTTCAAAACAAAAATATCTTGTATTTTCAATGATGGAAAACAGAGTATCATTAAATTTCATAATATGAACAAATTGCTTATCGGAAAATTTCATTGAAAAAAAGTGTTTTTGCTATTTTCATAAAAATTTTGTGACAAAAAGTAGGACAAAAAGCTTGTATGTATGGAAAAATGCTTATTTTGCTCTTTTCTCATAATTTTTTTAGTCCATGAATTGTATAAAACCGTATGATAAGCAATTTTTCATAGAATGAAGTCGTATGATTTGCATTTTTTGAACCCGGGAGCTTATTCATGATATTTTGCGCGTTTATTGACTGTATAGTGTTTCCTTATCAATACAACCAAAACCATTCGAGTGAAAAATTTGTCTTTTTAACCCAGTCAACTATGCAGGTTTTTGAAATAATACTAATATGAACTGTTCACTATTTAGAGTTGTAGAAACCAACAATGAAAACAGAGTTTTAGAGTCTGAACGAACTTTTTTGACTTTTCATTATCAATTTCTTTGTTTCTACTGCAAAAGATCTTATTTTACCTTTAATTTTCAAAATGAAAGCAACTATTCAACGCTGGTTTGTTTGTAGTCACAATCGAGTTTTTATTTCACTGTTTGTTCCGATTTCATAATGAAAAAAATTTTAAATAATTTTTCAAGAGGGCGAAGCAAGGCATTATGTTGAAAGGAGTCTCATATTTGATTTGGGTTTCAAAAGCGATTAAATCATTTTTTTTTTTCAAGTTCGAGAAACCCTTTATCAAATCAGCCAAGATAAAATCATGCAAGATTCTTCTATAAAAATTTTTACCGAAAAACAAGAAGCTTCAAAAAAACATCCCAACATTCGCATTACAAGATTTCAAGGGGCTTTTTGATATTTTTTTACCAGGGTGTAGTTTTTGAGCTGAAAAACAGACAATAGAAAATTGAAATTGATCTTAAAATATAAGCAATGGAAATTAATTGTACCAAGGCATCTTTCAGCAAAAGTTCCACCGATTTTTGTATTTGAATTGGTACTTTTTGAGCTTTTCGTTGTTTTAGATAACTGCAATTTTCTAATCCTCTATTTTCAAATCGATCACTCCAGAATGGAAGAAATCTATAGCGCAGGATGGATTGTTGTCCAGTTGATTCAGACCACGTCAAACTAAACGCGCCCCCACCCCCTAAATGCGCCCCTGTTTTAAGTTATTTGTTTTTAAACCGAGTCACCTGGAATGGGCATTCGAATAGTATGTCATCATCTATCATAGCGCATCCAGTTTTGCGCATCAGCTAAATAAAATAAATATTTTAAATATTTTAAATATTTTAAATAAATATTTTTCTTAAAATTTCTTTAATCGCCTCCCCGCCTGCTTCTAAAAAATACGCTTGAAAATTCTGAGTCAAAATCTTTAAATATTTTACCCTAAATTTCATTGATAGCTTATGCTTGCACTGTTGTTTGCTATAGACGGATACTTTTTTTGCCTCAAAATATTGAGTTAGATGTTAGGACGCTAGAAACCCATTCCAAAAATTCAACCGAAAAATTACTCGAAGTCCGTTTTTTTTGCTTATATAATTTTTTGTCCCCTAAAATAACATGCCATGGCTATATATTACAATTTTTTCACTATTATGCAAACTATCTTGTGGTTATATTATTATATTGTTATATTATATTGGAATAGTATCAGTAGCATCAGTAGAGTAGTTTTCTGCTTATTTAGATTAAATACATGCGTTAGAATTTAACTAGATTATTGGAATATTCTTGCGTTCGTTCATCTGTCAAAATTCACCTATTATAAATCGTTCTATCTTCTCTGGGTTGCTATTGGCACTATTACCATTCATTCTCTCCCTCTTCCAGCGGTCTAATTGAACCCAATGGGACCACCACCGCTCCCATTCCGGGTAAAATAGAACGGGATACAAAAAACCGGCCTTTTTTCTTGATCGCAACACCTTTTCCCCGTGCCTGCTAATATGCATTATCTTGTGCCTATTTAGCTCTCGTGTTTTCTTATTACCCTCATTTTTTCAACCCAACTGATGGTGCAAAATGAAATCAAACAGCGATCAGAAATTGGCTGAAAACGCGAATAAAGGTAATAGGAGAGCCATTATGTATTACGATTGAGGTGGTGTTATGTGTTTTGCAAGGGATTTGTAGTCTGTACGATAACTTGGCAGTTAAAAAGATGGCTCCCACTTAACCGAATCATCTAAAAATTTGCATGAAAATTTGCATGATACTTGCTTGAAATGACCCAAAAAATCTAAAACTGCCGGTTGTTCAATTCATTTTTGTTTGATTTCTACAAACTTAATTAGATTTTTCATGATGCCAGAAAAGTAATTTAGGTTTTCGATTTAATGCTTTGTTGGCTAAGTGAACGGTATAAGTCCGACTCACGGGGCTCTACGGTTGTCCGTTAGCATATTACCTGGTGCCTTTTTGTTTGTTGATGTTGTTTTTTTCCTAGTTTAATTTCCATTTCATCATTCATTCCTTTTTATTCACGCTTCGCCCTATACACACTGCGATAGGCGAAGGGGACTTTTTTATTCCTCTAAGATACCATTTCCATCCAATCTTTTACTCTTCATTTTCTACCCTCGGTAAAAAAATTTGTTGTTGATTTTTATGTTATTTTCAAGTTCAAGCCCAACCGTTCCTTTTTTATTTTGCAGTCATTGAATTTGCAAAACTTTATCGACAAAAGTTTATAAAAAAGCTTGAAGGCAAGTAAAAATCTAACTGGATATTTTGGTCTTCTATTCAAATAAAAGCATTGAAAGATAACCAAATTTTTCCTTATCTCGGAAAGTTTTTTCTCAGTATGCTAAAATTATTTACAAGTGGTGTATTGTAAAACGTTTTTTTAAACAAGAAGGAGTGAAATGTCAACAAAATAAACATGCAAGTTGAAAAATATCACCAACTATCAAGCAGTGCAGTGCGTCCTTTTCAGTTCCTTCAGTCGGTCCGAAATTATTTTACATAATTTCCAGTTGAATACACCACCAGAATTTAACATAAAACATAACACTTTCCAATTTGCATTCACTGGTTGAACTAAAACACCAATATATTGAACAATTTCAAAAAAGAGCAAACATTATATTTTTTCGGCGAAATGGGAGGATTTAATTTTTAAACAATATAATTGTTTCCTTTGAAGGCAAAACTTAAGGCGAGATTTCAGAACGAGGATATTTTATAGTTATTTCATCACCTTAATTTGAGACCATGTCGAAAAGCCCTGTTGTATTCTCATATAAATTACAGTTTTCAATTATTTTTCCAATTATTTTGGGATAACTTTGGAATTAAAGTTTGAAGCATGGATTAAAAATTTGACTTTGCATTATTTTTGAGGCCCTTCACATGAAATCAAATAACGTTAAAAAAACTGTGGGCTTTAAATTTGTCAGTCGCTGCAATTGCTTCCGTCAATTGTAGATTCATTCGTTGTTTGTTCTCACTTTTTGTTATATTTATATAAAAAATAGTCTAATAATTTTTCGAATGACCTTTATTAATGACAAAACTATAATATGCCGAGTCCCTTGAGAATTTAGCATTGTGGATGTCGTCTCAAAATAAAAAAATATTTAAATTTTCTAATAAAATGACCATTTATGCAACCCCTATTTGAGAACGCGGGCGTTTTTCCTTTGAATTCATTATTAGCTTTTTCACATCTGAGACTTATCTTATTTCACGCTATTGGATAACTTATTACGTAATCTCTTCTTTTTCATCCAGAGTTAATTACACGCACCATTTGCACATCAAATCCAAGAATTAAATCGACGTAGAAGCTAGTTGAAAAAAAACAGCCACATTTTTACCTGCTAGATTCTATGCAACTTCTCAACCTTATTTTTACTAGCACTGAAAACCATCTGTTCCCAGGTAAATTTTTAAGATTTTTCAGTTCAACTGGAAAGTTGACCCCCGTTAATGCTCATGCAGCTAATTATATTTGAACTTGTAATTGTTCCGACCATTTGAAAAAAGTGGAGGAACTTTGTATTCGGGTGTTTTAGTTTTTTCTTTCTTTTTTTTTTGTTTTCAACGCAAAATCAGGTACCCAAATAATCATCTGAATTGGTCGAGTGATATCATTATAGACTTTTCAGTCAATATTCGCACGATCTTAAAAATTTTGGAAAAATTTTTCGCAGTGTCAAGAAAAACCAGTTTGAAATTTTTGAGTTTGGTCTTATTTCGAACTAAAAAGGTGAGGTTAAGCAGGGTTAGAACAGCTAATATAAGCAGTGAAAACCTGGTTTTAATTCAGTAAAGTTTTTTTGGAGTTTTTTAGCGCCAATTTGAGAACCAAAAACATCAAAAATCAAGTCTTCTGCAAAAAAAAGTTTTGAAAAGTTTGAATTTTCTCAACGATTTTATTTTCGTTGTTTTAGACACTGTTTAATTTTTCTTTAACTTATTTCACTATGAATGTTTCACTATGAATGTCGAATCTGCCTCATTTCTTTTTTTTCGCTCAGATTATTACGCTAGCAAAACTATATACGTCGGACAAAACGCTTGCTAGGAGTATAGGGTCCTTTCTACTTACTATCTTAGAAAGTAAATCTAAAATTCGCTGAAAAATATTTTATTAGAAAAGAACTTAGTATCAATCTAATGCAAGTTGCCTTTCGACTCAATATTTATTTTAAGGGGGAGATTAGAGGTATTTTTACTGAGAATGGATAATATTTTACAGAGAATGGTTGGGGTGGTTGAAGAGAGTGGTGTTGGTATTTTGTGAGCTTTTGTTGGAATGAATTTCAGTAAACTTTAGCTTCTATTTATACTCAAATGGGAAATCTCCCACTTTTTCGTATCAAATGAGAAGTTACTTTTTAACTTCGTATTCTTTCGTGAATATTATTCGTGCATTCGTATCTCACGAGAAGAATCTTTTGTCTGCTCGTATTTTACGAGAGGAATCGTTATTATTCGCATTGAACAAGAATAGTCGTTTCATTTCTCAATGCTTAAAACGTTATACGAATTATTTCAATAGCATTTCCCTTCCTTTTGCAAAGGGATAAAAACATATTTATTTTGTGGTTGGGGCGGTGTCACACTTTGTGAGCACAATAAAATAATTCATGTTTCTGTTTCAACTCGAAATCCGAACAAGATCTTTTCATCTCACCACGCAGAAACATATCGGGTTCGGTTGGACTAATGTTGGCTTCGTTTAGAAACATTATCTAAAACAATCATTCAAAAGTAGTTATAAACAGGGGCGGATCTAGAATTTTCTTGAAGTCGAGTTTTTTTCTTTGAGGTCGACATTGAGAAACTGTTTTGGATAAGTTTTTAAAAATTGTTGGAATCACGATACAGTATGGGTCTTAATACGAGATATATCATTTGACCTGTTTTTTAATTTTTTTATTTTCTTTAACAAAAACAGCTTTTTTGTCCTGTTTTTTGAAAATTTTGCCTGTGTTATGGGAAAGATCGGGAACAAATTTCGGTCGACCTAAAAAAAAGTCGACAATTCTTTTGAAAATCCCCCCCTCTCGAGAAAATCTTAGATCCGCACCTGTCTATGTTAATCGCCATATAAAGCTAAGTAGGCTCAAAGTATCATGAATTGCTATTTATACAGGTTGTTTTCTGGGTTTTTATTCTTCCGAAAATTTTTTCACCTCAAAGTTAATATTTAAATCCTTAACTCTTTAGTACTTTATGCTACATCCTCTTATAAAAATCCTTGATTCCTGTTCCCACCGTCAAATATTATCTTGGCTTGGGTCAATGTGGACGAAATTGTGATACTCGGGCTTCAGTTACCAGAGACTCTTGTGCAACTGTTCTATTCAATTAAGCAACCAGGGTTACCTAACCGAAAATGCAACTACAAACCTGATCGAAGATGCAGCTACAAGTGATAATTAATAATACATTGTTTAAAAATAGCTTGTTTTTCTTGGAGCTTTTTTGAAGACTTCCGATTACTTCGGTTTCTGACCCTCTTGCACCATTTCGGACCCAATATGTTTTTGGATGAAGCTCTGACAAATTCTTGATCAACCGTCTTATGCTTCCGCTGTTTTCCTTCTTAGGAGGATATTCAATTGAAGTTTCTTCCTTATTCATTTCTCCTGTGCAGAATTTTTTCATGCTCTAAATCAAAACCTTTGAGCTTTTAGAGCATATGTACAATACTCTAATTGAACTGCTCTATCCCGCACCCGGCTTCTCTTTTTGTATGTTCACGACAAACCCTTCAAACTGTTTGCACCCAGTGAGCCCCAGGAGAAGATCAGTATCCAAAGCTTTAATCAAAAATACATTATCTGTTGAACCCTAGGTTGACTCTGTTTTGTCTCTGGATAATTTTCTGCAGCAAATGGATTGACATGGACATAATTAGTAGCAAATATTTGCCATGGCATCCTGAAAAGGGACGTTTTGCCGAGTGTTTGTTTATTTACTGGAATTATCGGACAATCTTATGTAAATTTCCTTTTTCCATGCGTACATCGTCATTTTTAGCTTCTATGTTTCGACATACCATTTTGTCAAATTGAAGTTTTAACATTTGACGGTCAACTTATAGTAACACAGGCTTCAATAGGAGGGGTTAGTTACTTGAAAGTTGGAGTTGTTTTTGTCAATGTGAGATTTGAACCTATCGACTTTCTCCGAGTTCAAAGTTTGCACTCTTTCAGGGAAAGGGGGTTTCATCAACGGAAGTAGCCGTGAGGGGGGAAGAGAAGGTTTCAGTTTCAGTTCAAGCTGGTCTTTTTTCAAGTTTGAGAGTAGTATCTACTACCGCTTTACTTTTTGTGCGGCAGAAAACCAGAAATAATGGTCGTGGGGTCTTGCAAGATTTAACTGAGTTTTAGAGGTTCTCAAAAAAACACGATTTTTTCTCAAGGTTTTCATGTAGGCCTTGTTTTAGCATAAATTCCATAGATATGTGCATCAAATTATTTAAATTTTTCCCGTATCAAGCAAAACTTTGAAGTTTTTTACTAGTTTCTGACTGCTCTCGATTGTATATGAATTATTTTTTGATATTTTTTTTCAAAAAAATTAACAAAACAAAAGTTGAAAACTGAAAAGAAAAACGAGGTTACCAAATTGCAGTTTACTTTAATAGCACGAAATATTTAATGCGAAAATTACTGACATATGAATTATTTTTGTTCCGACTTTCGATACGAAAGTAACGGAATATTTGTTCCGACTTTCGATACGAAAGTAACGGAATATTTGTGCTCGGGGTGGGGTTTTTTTTCTTCAGACAAATTTCGACTTTTTAACTAGCCATTTTTGACGGAATTTTTTTATATCATTCAAAAGGTATTGTTGTCTTGAGCTCAAATTCGAAAAGATATTTCACCTGTGATCATCATTCGTAAAGTTATGGGGGTTTAAAATTGCAATTTTGGCCAATTTGGGACAATTAACGCGCGATATATTTCGCGCTATTAACGCGTAAGAGGAGAATTAATCCGTCTTAAAATCGTTCCAAATTGGTTGAAAGAAGCTTATTTGCCATAATTGATTTGTTACAAGGAGCTAATTTTATCTTTTTGTACTTTAAATGGCGTGTGGGGGGATGATTTTTCTACAAAAATTTCAAATTAAAAAAAAAATTTTTTGTTCCGACTTTCGATACGAAAGTAACGGAATATTTGTTCCGACTTTCGATACGAAAGTAACGGATAATTTGTGCTCGCGGTGGGTTTTTTTTTTTCTTCAGACAAATTTCGACTTTTTAACTAGCCATTTTTGACGGAATTTTTTTATATCATTCAAAAAGTATTGTTGTCCTGAGCTCAAAATTGAAAAGATATTTCACCTGTGATCATCATTCGTAAAGTTATGGGGGTTTAAAGATTGCCATTATGGCCAATTTGGGACAATTAACGCGCGATATATTTCGCGCTATTAACGCGTAAGCGGAGAGTTAATCCGTCTTAGAAATCGTTCCAAATTGGTTAAAAGAAGCTTATTTGCCATAATTGGTTTGTTACAAGGAGCGAAATCTGTTCTTTTGTACTTTATATGGCGTGTGGGGGGATGATTTTCACAAAAAAATTTCAATTTTTAGAAAAACAAATTTCATTTTGTTTTATTTCATTGAATTTTTTAATGTTATTACTGCTCCATAAACCTTAAACGGCAGTCGGAACATTCAGGGCTTCGCCCTGATACGAGCAGTCTTGTTTTGTTTTGTTACATTTAATTTCTTAATGTTATTACTGCTCCATAAACCCTAAAAGGCAGTCAGAACATTCAGGGCTTCGCCCTGATACGAGCAGTCTTGTCTTTAATTTTGAACTCAGATAGTCAATAAATTTCAGATCGTTCAAAAAACTCGAACAAACCGGACACAACAATTTATCTTTTTTTCTTCGAATTTTGGATCTAAAATCTTTTGTAGCGGAAATTAGAGATGTGGTGGTTGTTGTGATTGCGTGATTGCTCATCTTAATTTAGTTTAGATAAGTGTTTGGTACCGTCTGACCATGACTGTACGCACTCCATCGGAGTGATTCTGCTGATATTCAGTGTTGACGTTAAATAGAACAATTTTAATACAGTCATAATTCTACACTTCTTACTCTAGCCTAGTTTAGTTAAGAATTTTAAGAGCATACTATTCTAACATTATAAATGTTATTAGTGGTAAAAACTTGTGCGTAGTTGAAAAAAAGATATTTTGCGCTGTACTGCTTTGAATAGCGAATCCTTGATGATTTTTTTCCTGAATTGATGATGAAGTTGTGCATCATCAGCAATTATGGCACTAAGAAATACAGATTCGGTGAAAATTATGAAGCATTAAGCGTACAAATTAGAGACTTAGTGGACTGTCGCATACAAAAAGTTTTTAGGTCATAGACTGAAAAAGAAATTGATGTTTTCCTGCT